TACAGTCTCACATGGACTTCCAGAGTTTTAGGTCATTATTAAAAAAAAAAAAAAAAAAAAAAGATCATGCACAATGCGTCTGACTTGGAGAAAAATAATAATGAGGGTTTGTTACTCTCTTGCTATATGCTTTCCATACATTATCACGCTTAATCCTGATGTGGCTCTGAGCTTGTAGTTTGTGCTACTACAAACCTCATTTGTGTCTAAGGATGCTGGAGAGGCTAAGTAATTTCGTCAAGTCCATGCGTAAGAAAGAGAACTCAAGGGCTGGGCATAGTGATATACACCTGTAATCCCAGCATGTGGGAGGCAGAGGCAGGGGGATCACTGCAAGTTCAAGACCAGCCTGGTCTAGACTGTGAGTTCCAAATTAGCCGAGACACAGAAAGAAAGAAAAAAGAGCCCTAAAAGAATAAAATTGAGTAAGTAAAAAAAAAAAAAAAAAGAAGGAAGGACTCGAAACTTAAATTATGACATTCAGACACCAAGAGAAGTGCTTGTCAATAAGGAGGTCTTGTCTGGGGGAAAGCCAGCTGGTGCTTTGCCTCTGTGGTTGTAAAAAACCAGTGCTGCAGAAGTATGTCTCACAGATAGCCCAGCACTGACCAGACAGACCACTGCCACCCAGTCACAAACTCCTAATCCCTAAAGCAGCATTGGCAAGCTGTTGCCCTTCTCCCACTTTACAGATGGGGAAACTGAGATAAAGCAAGTTAAAGCACTTGCCCTTGGTTTCAAACTTGAGTCTATGACCCCAGAGCCTTGAACTCCTTCAAATTAATGGTGACTGCCAACCAACTGCGTTGGTTACCGATAAAATTAATAAGCAGCCATCTGATCGACTCTTAGATCAAAGAGCAATCAAATATTTTCCATTGTTCCATTCAGGAATGGCCATGTAATTGAGCAATTGCACAGCACCATGATTCTACCTTTGTCTTTCACCCGGGAGACTTGGTGGAGCTCTGGCTGCTAGCAGTTAGCAGAACTGTCTAGACAGTATTTGCAAAGCAGTGTGTGGGTGTGTGAATCAAGGAGGATCTGAGAAACTCATCTTTGGGAAGGGGACAAAGCTGATAGTGAACTCATGTAAGTTTCCTTTTCTTCTTGGTTTCTTTTTTAATTTTATTTTTTATTAATTTATTTTATGTAAGTTTTAGTTTCTAATTACCCCAAGTTTCACCCAGGGAACCCTGATATGCAAATTTTCTATTCTTTCTTATAACCCAAGTCCACACCACAGCAGCCTCATTAACTGATTCCAATGCAAACAAGGGCTGGTGAATTCCTTCAACATCCAAGGACACTGCTGTTGACGCACTATTTACCTGTAAGGCATGATGAAAAGAACACTGGACCATTGCACTGGGAGTTCAGCTAGTATACACGTAATTTTTTTTTTAATTTCAGTTCATGAATTTTCCATGGAACTGAAAGAAAATCAGCTGACTCTTTGGGCTTCTGTTCTTCTGCCTTGTAAAATGGTATAGAGAGAAGAGGAGCTTGGGCCCCTGTGCTGCAAGGCAGGCAGCCGTCGGGATAGGTGCCAACACATTCCCAGAAAAGTGACCATATCCTCAAGGAAAGGGGGGGCCTTGAGTAGCCCACTACTACCCCTCATTTTACAGTGCTGGCTCTGTCAGGGAGGGTTCTAGACCAACAAATAAACATGGAAGCTGTGGAGGAAGTTTGGACAACTGAGTTTTTGTAGAGTCGTGTATCACTGTGTGAATACTGGATCCAATTACAAGCTGACATTTGGGAAAGGAACAACTTTGAGTGTTACACCAGGTACGTTTTGATGACAATTACTTGTTTTTAAATGTAAAGGTCACCTTTAAAACTTCAATGCGGAGCAACTGAGTTACCCTCTTACTAGCATCTTTCGCTGTGTTGCTAACTGAAATCCATGAACTGAAATTTAAAAAAATTACATGTATACTAGCCGAACTCCCATTGTGACCCAGGCGGAGACAGTGCCATGCGTGTTGGTCACTGGGTGACCACCTTTCTCTGTGTCCTTGACTAGCTAAGGCTTCCATGTGGGCACAATTAAGAAATGAACTATTCGGACTCTGTAATGCCAAGTCTTGGAGCCAAGCTAGTTAGGCAAACTTCTGTAAGAGCCTTTGGGACTGATAGTTGGTGTAGGGTATCATTCGTAGCAAATTTCAAATGAATCGGAAAGACCATGAGCTTCTGAAACATGCTCACTGCCATATTCTAACCAGGTCCTCCTGGAATGTTTGCATGCTTGCTGCTGACGATGCTCGCTGCCATGTTCTAACTGGGTCCTCTGGGAGCGTTTGCATCCTTGTCCCCCATGATGCTCACTAACCGGGCCCTCCCGGAATGTTTGCACACTTGCCTGGGCTGAGTTTTGTGCACCAGATGAGACCTTTTTGTTACTCTCTCACTTCTCGTACTCTTGCTGACAAACTGGCCACTGAGCTTGGAAGTAAGAAAAGGATTCTTCGGCCACACATATTAACAGTCCTCTTCTTCATCCCGAAAGGCCCAGAGGGATGTTTTGAATGCAGCCTCACCGTTCTCACAGCAAACCTAACTTCAATTAACTTCAGTGTCCTGAAATTTTGCTTTGTGAGACAATTTCTATTTTCTACACCAACGGAAGCTCATTCCAAACTATTAATTAGGGGTTAACATTGTATCACAATTCCAAACACCAGCTACGGAGCTGTGTATCTCAAAGTAAATCCACTTGCATGGCTGAATTACTAGCCGCTTCAGAAAGGCCAGAATCAGAATGTCTTCATAGCCATTCCATCATCTCCATCTGACTTTCCTTAAAGTTCCTCATGCCTAAAAGAGCATCAAGTAGAAAACCATTTCCATGCTGGCCTATGTGTCTAGTGGTTTACAGGGACTCAGGCATGTCAGCTGCTACATTTTCAGACTGGCTTGGCTATTTAGAGCTGTCCAAACACTAGAAATATAATCAGAATATATATATAATCAGAATATATATATATAATATATATATACACACACATATATACACACAAGTATAAACTTTATTTTATTTATAATTCTCATACTTCTCAGGGAACTGTTTTTAAATTATTTTCGAATAGTGTTATAGTCTCCTTTCTTTTGGTACCTTATTTGTGATGTGTGTGAAGATGAAATAGCAGTTGAGGCTCAAAAAAACATCCCTGAGATCTACCTTAAGCTGTCCCCACTAGAGGGGTTCTGAAAAAAAAAAATGATAGGAAACTGATATTTGAGAACTAGATTAAAGAGAAAATCCAAATTAATCCCCCCAAAAAATGATGCTCAGTAGATAGCTTCTTAGACATAGCCTGTCAATCCTGCAAGCCTCATTGCCCAGTTGCCTAGACTGCCTATTCGATCCTGCCTGGAACAGTCATAATAATGTTCATCCCAGACCTGTCTTGAGCAGAAATGTCAGTCTCTCACCCTAAAAAGTCCTTGTGATTTGTTTTGTTTTGGTAGTTTGTCATTCTGCACAGTGTTCTGGAAGTAATAGAAAAGCGCATTAGGGAGCCCCTGAGATGGAAATGAAATGGAAATTTAGATTGTAAATATATGACTGCAATAAATAGATAGCAAGAAAAATGATGAAGCGATTAGAAAGTTAGCACATTTCTCTAACCTAAAGGGGTGTTTCTATAAATAGTTTGAAACTATCAAAGAGGGGTAGGGAGAGTAGGGGAGAGAGAGAGGTAAATGGATCATCTCCTAATCCTTTCACGTTGCACAACCAGAAACTGAGCGGAGAAGGATGCCATGTCTTGTGTCAAGACTAGAGGGCACACGGGAAGGGTCCTCTGGGATTTGTTTTGAGGCTAGCTCCCTGCTAGTGACAATCCTGACAATAGCCTGGCTGAGGGTCAGGGGAAGGGTGTTCAGAAATAAAATCCACGTAAGCACAGAGGGCCAAGAGGATTTCTGGGAACAGGCTTTTCTCTCTACCTTTCAACCTTTCCTGTCTTAAAGTGATGTACTGAGTCTCTGAAGAGGAAGCCCAAGAGTCAGTCCGGAAACTTTAAGTAAGGAGGCAGCTTAACTTCATCCGGGAGACTTTTAAGTGTAAAGATTCTTTTAAGCCAGCTGTTTTAGGAAAGCTCCGTAAAGGCCGGATGAAGGGTGAGAGGAAAAAAGTTAAAAATCTATGAAGGGAAAGAAATAAAGACGTTAGGTGTCTGACAAAGAAACTGAAATCTCTGGTCTATGCCTGCAACTGGTAAAGGAGACCATGTGAAGGACAAAATGAGCGCAGGCGAGGAGATGCAGCCATCCCCCTCTCCCGTCTGGGAGGCTCTAGCTATTCTCCACAGCAGACCTCAACACTGACAACCTGGCCTGACTCCTTCAACAGAGAGGAAAGAGCTTCAGCTGTGTAGTTTGTATACAAGCTTTGTAAACCGGAGTGGCTTCTAGAAGCTGGTGTTTGGGCAAAGGACAGGCAGACCAGAGTGAATATGGGGGCCAAAGCTGCCTATAGACCTCCACAGCCATCGTTCTAAACTGTGTCCTCCAAACTGTTCCAGAGAGACACACACGTGGTCCTCAACTTCATGCTATGCGTGCGTCCCTGGTCCTCTTTCTCTTCTGAAATCTGCTTCCCGTGGGCCAGAAACAAGTGAATTGATTATAAGCAATTTCAATAAGCAGCAGAGAAATAGTTACCCCAAAAGTGCAATAATCTAGAAACTGCGTGAGCACCAAGTGTGAGAAAACAGTTAGGATGAAAGAGAAAGAAATGGCTTACCAAAAGGGAGAAGGCAGCTTAGTCATAAAAAAATAGCAATTAAAAAAAAATTATTTAAGACTTAAAGATGATATAAAACATTCAGGTGTCTATAACAAAGACCTCCATTGGCTTCTAGAAGCCCAGGTCTGGTCTGCTGTGCTCCTCCCAGATTTATCCTGTAGTTTGGTGCAGGGATGAGAGCAGCCAGGGCCCTTCTGTCAGAACAGCCCTAGTTCCTGTTTTTGTAAAGCCTCGCCAGGCTGTGGGAACAGTGGAAGCAGCAGTTACAACCTGGCATTTGGGAAAGGAACTCTCTTAACTGTGAATCCAAGTAAGTATTAAGGGAAAGGGAGAAGGGGACATTCCCCTCCAAAAGTACCCCAGCTTAGCTTTCTAAATCTGAGTGGATTTATTATGGAGAGATGGTCCCAACGCCACTGTACAAAGACTAAATCGGCTCTAGCCAACAATATCCCAATCATTCATCTTAAATGAAATCAATGGTACAGGAAGGCAAATTGAATACAGGATCCAGGGGGATGCAGCTAAGGCCAGAAAGGATTTTCCAGAAAGATTGAGAGGAAATTGGTATGTTGTGACTATGCAAATTTAGTGAACCAAAAATAATGTAGATAGGAAAACTGTCCCCACCAAGTTAAGAGGGGACCTGTAATTTCGTTCCAGGTGATGGAAATTCTATAGCCTGATTTTTTTTTTTTTAGTCCCTACAGGAGTACTTGAGATCTCTGTAGCAGAGACTGTCTGGTTCACTGAGGCAAAGCATTTAACCCTTTTATTTTCTTGGTAACAAAACTAATGATTCAGGCTGAGGCTGAGTTTACCTATGACTGGGAGAACCCATGCTCTGAGCCACTTCACGTACCCTCTCTAGTTAGGACATGTGTGCACTGAAACAGTTAAAATTTTTATAGAAAACTCACTGTGCTTGCTACTGACAGTTTAAAAAAGAATCTGTGTTGCTGGTGGATTTTGAGAATATACTTCAAGACTGACCTGTTCCAAAATCCAGCTAAAGCAAAAATAGAAAAACTTTGAAGAGCACGAGCCTCCTTTCAGATATAAGCTGAGTGCCCTGGGTGATGCATAAAAGCCAGATCCCCGGTTTCATTTATTCTTCTCTGCCTTCTGTGATCAAGGGAAGAGCCACACTGGGGTGGGGTTGTTGTGAGACAGGCCCTGGCAAAGCTCTTAGAGGCCCAGGCTCCAGCAAAGGGACACCAGTGAATGACTGGGTAAGATGAATGCAGCCAGGAAGGGTCAGCCAAGTTCTCTGGCACACAGCTTGCCGTGTTCTAGGTCACAGCCAGGCTGCAGAGCATACAGTGCAGCTGGTACATGGCTCAGTGGGGGCACAATCCACCCACCCCGCACACAGGCTGGGGGCTGGGCAGTGGGTTTTAACTTTTGGTGTCTTTGGGCAGAATCCTGTTGATGGGTTTTCCAGAACGAAGAAGCTAAGACACCTTTCAGCTCTTCGTCGGCTTCTTTGGAGCTTTAGAGTCATAACCTCCACACTTTAAAATGTCAGTAAACCAGTCTAACAAGGCAAAGGAAAGAGCTGTGCAGGGCAAGCATCCTTCAGGCACCCTGGATGGTAGCTGCATGCAAGGTTCCCAGTGCAGTGGGCCCTTTCTTTGCAGTGACTACAAGGCAAGAACAGTGACTACTGGCGCCTAAGAAACCCATGATGAAATTCTGTTCATCCTCCTGTCTGCAAAACATGAATTATTGCTATAGCAGCACTTAGGTGCCCACACATCTGGGGGCTTCCGCTAAGAGCAATCATCCTCTTTGGCTTATGTTCTAGGAGCTAATTGGAGGGGGTTTCAGACAGTAAATAGATGGGAAAGGCTGCGCCAGTCCCTGACTGCTCTCCTCAAAGCAGATACACATTTCTCGGCCTCTTTCTCCACCCTCCCAATGACAGTGAGTAAGCTAAAACTCCAACTCTTTGCTCATAAGTAATTGCTAGAGATTAGTAGAGATGCTATCGTAAACTTAGTTTAAGAAAATGTTTAAACAGTTTAAAAGTCAAATTGAATTAAAGGACTAAAAAATGCCATATAATAAAACCGTGTGAATTTTGCTCTTTGCAATTTTTTGTGGCATCCATGAGACCAGCCCACTAACCCCCAGAATCTCATGATTATGGCCACCAGTACTAGGGACTTCAAGGAATGAAATTCACAGCTATCTCAAGTAACTGTCCAGGAATGTTTTCTTAGGGACATATCTTCATTTCTCTACTGGAGTGCCAGGCCTGCTGGGCAAAGGTTGCACACCTCTACCAAGACTGAGAGATGTCCCAAAACAGCTAATTATAGTAACAGGTATTTAATTGTGATAATAAGCCCCAGAGGTAAGCTTCTCCTCTGAACTGCTGCTTATATTTCATCAGCTCAAGACTAGCAGAAAGCTATGCGATATGGAGGCTCAATTCAATGTGCCCATCATTTCCCTCTCCTGTGCTAGGGCAGGAAGGGGGCTGAGGAGACAGTGTTCCCTGAAGCTGGAGTCTAAACCTCATCTAATTCTAGTCATTCCTCCAATGGCGGGACACTATCCTCCTGTCTCTTCGTAATCAATTCATTGTCATCAGAAATGTGTGACACCTCGAGGGGAGGGAAAGACATGCCCAGAAAACTGAATAGAGAAATTGTCCTGAAAATGATGTTGTAAAATGGAAATGAGACCTTTAGGAGAGAGACACTGAACATGAGAAATCAGTAAGCCTCGATATGAAACCAGAGGACAGAGGTGGGGAGCAGGGCCCTGGGTACAGCTGGTCACTGTCTCTGAACCAAATGTGGAAATGGCCCCTGGCCTTCAGAGAATTATACTCGGCTTCACAGGCCTAGGCCTTTCTGGGTAAGTTTATTTTCCCCCAAACTAAAGTAGGACGGTATCTGCGAGCCCCAGGGTTCCACCTAGTGTTTTTGTAAAGGCCTCTGTTACAGTGCTAACTGGAACTGGTTCTTACAAGCTGGTGTTTGGACAAGGGACCATCCTTAGGGTCCATCCAAGTAAGTGAAAAAGGCCATGGCAGCAAGATGGAGATTCTGAGGTGTAATCCCCCTCATCTGCTTTAGAAGGATTGTATGCTGTTTAGGAGCCACGCTTTGCTTAAGTAGACTAATTTGTTCAAGGTCCTTTGTCAACGTCAGTCTCTCTAGTTCTCTCCCCTTTGTGAGAAGAAAGCTGTCCTTGACCTTGCAAAGCTAGAACCTTCACAGCTCTCAGCGCCTTCTCTGGAAGTGAGGCTCTTAATTTTAGGGGGAGGAGAAACCCTTTCCAAATGACTCCTGAGTAACCCACTGTGTATTTTGCCAGCATTCCCTACCAGAAATGTCTCCCTTATGGCAATCTTAAACTTCTCTTGGCACAGTTAAGGCCATCTCCAATGGTGCCCTCCACAGTGGAGAGAGATAATCAGAGTAGAGTGTGAATAGATATGTCATATTCAGTTCGGAAGGGTTTTAAATGAAGCAGAGAAGGGAAAACAGAAAACTGGATGGGACCGTGAGGTCTCATTTGAAATCCCTCTATGTTCCCTGCATGTATCCAACTTCATCTATAAATGCAAAACTACAAAAGAGAGAGAGAGAGAGAGAGAGAGAGAGAAAGGAAAGGATGGACAGAAAGAAGTGGCCACTGTGCCCATTCCCTATCTCCAAAAACCACAGGTAAAAAATTACAATTAATTCCACAGTGTCAGATCGGTGGCTTAAAACCTTTCTTCTCAGGGTAGGTCGTATCCTCGCTGATAATTAGAGCAGATAGGAAGGCTTGGCTCTGGTGTGTTTGCAGTTGGATCCTGCTGGGAGGAGAGGGAAATGCGACTATTTTTTAAGATGCGTAAAATTCCTTCTGTCGAGTGTTGTAAAACCCCCCCACCACAGAGATGTGTGACAGGGAGGTGAAGCCAGTATGTAGAAAAAGACACAAGCTGGAGGGGCCCAACTCGGTGTCCCCCACACATCTTTGTTCACTTCCCACTTCAGGCCTTTTAGATCTTCCTTGGAGGGATCCTAAGGGAGCTGAGCAGACATGAATTAAAGACAGCCCGGAGCTTGGAGAGCATCGGTGTTGAGAAATAACAAATTCAATGAGTGGCAAGCAGGAGAGGAAACAGTTAAAAAGCAGAAATAGGCATTCCAGGGAAGGTTGATGGGACTGAATCGAGAGGAGGGTATCAGAAAGGTTCACTAGGTTGCTCTCCCAGGAGCTCCACCAAGGACAGCGTCTTCTCACAGACAGGGGCCAGCCCTGTGTGGAACCAGCTACTCTTCTGCAGCCAGAGAGTGCAGTACAGATTCTGAGTGTGTAGAGGACATAGCTGACATCACCTTTTATCTGACCTTAGCAGCGTAGATTCACACCAGGTGGGTGTGGAGCAAGGCTGTTTCCGATGCTGCTCTGAGATTCAGTGTGGACTTGTTATAAATGCCTCAAATGCGGAAGATAGAGCCTAGTGAAGCCTGGTTCTGATGAGCAGAGTCCAGGTGGTACCAATACTGCTCATGTTGTTGTTGCTGTTGTTGTTATGTTTCCCCAAGCCCAGGAGTTGACTGAGGAGAGGACTGAGAAATTGACATTTTAGCTCAGGATCCAATTGACTGAAATATGCCAAAGAGGTGTGAAAGGCCAAAAGTGCCTCCAGAGCTTGGCCTTTGTTGTTAACTCTCTGGCAGTTGTCATTTCAGCAAAAAACGCATCCACTTAGAAAGGTCAGCTCTTCATTAGCCAGACAAATGAGAACAACATATTGACAGAGGTAAGGTGCGGGGAATCCAGATCTCAGCTTTGGAGAGCCTGGCATTTCTAGCCCTTTAATCACAACGCGCTGCTGAACCTACGCTGTCTCTGAGAAGGTAGATCAATGATGCCTGAGGACCTGGTGTCACCAGGCTAGCTTGGAGACGGAAATGAGACACGGATGAAAATGCTGTAGGGTGGAGGAATCATACAGATGGGGGAATACAAGGGAGCTCAATGGCGCCTTTTAAAACCCACAGGTATGCCAAAGGTGCTAATGATACCAAGGAGAGGCACATACTCCTATCAGGTGTCCTGTTACCCCAACTGAATCTGTTCAGAATGTGTCTCCTCCCCAGCACTCGGAGGCTGAGCAGGAGCTGAGATGCCTTTTGAAGTTGCATCACAAGAAAAAGCTAGGATAGGATCGTCGCTTTGTAAGAGTCACCTGCCAGTTATTGTAAAGGGTTGATTTGCTGTGTAACATCCTCCTCCTACAGCAAGCTGGTGTTTGGGCAGGGGACATCCTTATCGGTCATTCCAAGTAAGTCTGCA